AACTCTTGTTTCATGTGTGTGGTGTAAACATATCCCAGCTGTGTGCGCTTCTGTCTCAGCAGAGAAGCATGCCCGGTGCCGAGCGGGGTGTGGGGGGATATCCGTTGCTGTTTGGAACGAATGCACAGTCATCCATCCTCTTTCCCCAGAAAGCCTTATCTGCATTGCTGTTCACACCCAAAGGTGCTTGAGCTGAGATTTATGATGGTATCTTTGCTCTCAGCTGAATGTAGAGAACTTTTCTCCTTGGGACTGTGACTCTGGTCCTGTTGTGGATCTCTCCTGAGTCCTCATAGCCAAATCTGAGTTGTCGATACTCTGCAGGCTAAAATGCCCTTTGTGTTGCATGTCAAGCAGCACATCTTGGACACTGCTTCAGGGGTAAATGATTCTCTTCAGACAGGTCTCAGGACTGCCTGTAGTTTAGGCAGGTCTTGCCTGAGAAGGAAGAAGTCCTCAGTGAAGTGAAGGCTGTGATTTGTTCTTTAACGCCCAGGTATTAATGCCCCTGCTACGTACTGCAGAGGTAGCACTGGTGCAGGGGGTGTTGCTCCAGGGCTGATATTTCCCCAGAGCTGTAGCTGTTAATCATCCTAGAAGGAACTGTTAGTGTCTGTCTGCACTGCAGGCTCAACCGCTGTAACTCCACAACAGAGGTGAGTGTTACCTGGTGCACGGCCACGGGGCAGAGATGGGGAGGGATCCTGGCCAGCTGGTGCTGTGCTGCTTCCAGTGTGAGGCGGTTGGTGGCTGCTGCTGGATCATCGGGTAGGTGGGCCTGGGTTGCAGAAATGCTGTGAGAGTAGAGCCAGCTAGCGGGGAAAGAGGCAGCGCTCCAGGCCTCCCTCCAGCTGTCACCTGGTTGTTCACACCCTGCATTTTTATTGGATTCTTCTCTATAATTTCTTTTAAAAACAAATTTCCTAGAACTCTGTGGCATCCTGCCCCACTGTGAGGAGTAGAGCACCAGGTCCTGGTACAGACACATGGTGCTGCCCAGTTGTATGTTGGTGGCAGCAATAGCTACCACATAGTGTCAGAGCTGGACGTCCTGTGTCCCAGCACCCTGGCAGTGACACTGCCACCAAGGTCATTCATCCTTTGTGCAGCCAGCGAGGCGCCTGCAGATGAAAGTAGTGAGAGGAAGTCTCACGGCCAAGAAAGCACCCTGGTTCTTGGGCTGACCTCAGCAGGACAAAAGTGGAGACACCTTTTCCACTTGGTCTTTGGATTTTACATTCTGCCTTATTAGGCAATAGCTGCATTCTTGCCATCTAGGTCGGGACAGGAGAACTCTAAACTCAGCCCAAATCTGGCAGTGTCTGTGTTTCCCCCCCCCTCCTCAAAAGAAAACACTTCTGAAGGAAAGGCACCATCAGAATACTTCATCTTGGAAAAAAAAACAATCAAAGGGGCTGGAGAAAAACAAATTTATCATAAGTGAAACAAACAGCCAGGAGAAAAGGCAGGGCCCAGGGTAAAGGACAGACTCTGAAGAACGCCTAGCTCCCCCTGAAATGGGACTGCAGATCTTGCGTCCTGAGTCTGCTAGGAGAGGTGGGAGATATGAGGGGTAGAAACTTCCTGGGAAAGCTCCTCCTTGTGCACATCACCTGCCAGGTTCCCAAAGTAGCTTTCGAAGAGCTATTTCCTGGTCTTGCAGAAAACAAAAGAGAAATAATCCCTCAGATGGCTTTTCTGCACTGTGCGGGCAGCTCCAGCAACAGCCACCTGCACTGTTTGCCTGCAGCTTTGCACACTGGAAGTGTATCCTCCCCTTGCCTGTGTCCAACACCAGTGGTGCAGAGATGTGTCTTGGTACCGGCCTTACAGAGAGCAGCATGTGGGAAAGGGAGACAGTGCTGTTCCCAAAGCAGAGGTGGAGCAGGGAGGCTTCTTCTCTGGAGACTTGAACTTTGTTTATTCAGACAAAGCTGGATTCCAATAGCTGCAGCTGCTTGTGGGAGCAAAACAGCAGGAGCCCTTGCAGCCTCCAGCCACAGGCGCTGTTCAGAAAGGCCTTGCTTGCACTCACTGCTTTGCTCCTTCCACTGTGGTGGCCCCAGGTTCACATATGAGCTTTCTGTGATGAAGTAGCCCTGATCATCTTCAACCCTCCAGTGCTTCTGCCAGTACTGTAGGAGGGAGCTTGTGGTGTCAGCTTAGGGCAGGGAAGGGGTCTGTGCTCCCTGGTGCTGCCTTTTTCCTCATCTCTCTGCAGCAGGTGAGTGGCCGGAGCAGAGTGTAGGGGTGCTCCCACAGGGAGACTTTCCTTTCCAGTAGAAAGGAAACATGTAGAACACTGTAAGAGAGCTGTGGATTTTCTTGCTTCCTGTGGATCCCTGGAAAATGAGGCAGGGGGATGGAGCGTGGCTGTGCACTGTCACCCGTGGCTGAAGAACAAATGCCAGGGGATGGTGTTTCTGTACGTGGGTCAGTGCTGCCTTCCCCTCAGATTCTGCCTTGCCGACACATGGACTTGTGGGCTGCCCAGTATCTTCCCCACTCTGTCCCCGTGTGCCATGCTGGCACTGGTGCTGTCCCCTGGGGCCTTGGCCTGCTGGCTGTGGGGAGACGATGCGCTCTGCTGCCTTTATGTCTTAGCCCCTATGCTCTCCAGGGAATAACTGCTGCAGTGTTCAGGCCCTTCGTGTTTGCAGCACCTCTTTGCCTGACGTATGCTGTGAGTCACTGAGGGGAGGAAGCACATCAGGCCAAGTACAGGCTGGGAATCTGAGAAATGGAAAGACTCCCACCTCACCCACGTGCCTTTGTTTCAGGTCCTCGGGAGTTCAGGCAAGCTCTACACCTGCTATAGTTCCTGCCACTTCTGCACGTGTCCTGCCTTCGATTTCACTGTACTGCAGAAGAACGAGAGCCTTCTGGTGAGTTGCCTGCTAACTATAACCAAGGACAGGGAGGGAGGAGAAGGCTCTGCTGAGCAATCCTCCTTGAATCCAAGCACCCTAAAGTTTCCAAGGGAGCAAACATGAATGTTAAATTGGCCATGCAGGCTGCAGCTAACCCAGCATGTAGTCAGGCCTCTGGGAGTCACTGTGTCTGGCTGGAGCTCACCCTACATGGGTGTGGGAGGGCTTTTCTTCTTAATTACACATCAATATTCTGATAAGAGGTGAAGAATCCTTGTTCTCTTGGAGCAAGGGCCGCTGCTGTAACTGTGGCATGGAGTCTGGCTGATGAAGTGGTGTGGTAAACCCAGGGCCAGTGAGGAAGGACTCGGGGTAACTAAATGGCTCATAGGTGTCCACCCACACCAACCATCCCTTCCTCCAGGGGAAACCTTCTGTTCCAGGAGCTTCCCAACCTGGACAGTCATTTTGTAGAGGACCTTGTGGAGTGTGTGAATGCTGCCAGGCAGCCCCGAATCAGCTGTTGTTCATTATAGCCTGAACCTGCCAGCTCTTGTGTCCAGTATGGAGAAGGCACTAGGATCTAGTAATGCTCTGCAGTGTGTCAGAATCCCATAACATGTTATCCTGATGTTGGAATTGACCTGGAGCCAGCGGGCACTCCAGCCTGTGCTAATGCTTGCAGTGCTCATTGCCTCTGACAGGGATGAGCTCTTCATTAAACACAACCTGGCCAGGATGGATTTTTGTGGCTCCCACATGTGGTGTGATGCTCCTGCTGTTAACACATCCATTCTCCTGTTTGCAGTGCAAACATATACTCGCCGTCTACCTCAGCCAGGCCATGGGAGCATGCCAGGAGCTAAGTGTCTCTGAGGAGCAGCTTACAAACATCTTACTGGCTGAGGATGAGGAAGAAGGATGAAGGATTTGGATGGGATGCAGGTGTGCTTTCTCTCTACCCTTTCAGCTGCTCTGAGAGGAATAATAGGCATTCTTACTGTCAAGAGAGCTGTCAAATGTTCATTTTGGCTAGTAGATTTATTTCTGTGCTGCACCCAAGCATGACATTAAATGACATCCTTGCACTGATGGACTAACTAATAAATGCATGGGCATGAGCAGAAACAGCTGACATCAGCCTGTCCACTGGTTTTAAATTGACCCAATTCAGACAAGCCAACCACTACATGCTGGCAAGCAAAACGAGAGGTTGTGGAACCTTTTTCCCATGTGAGAATCCCCTCTAGGATTATTGTCTTTTTTCCTCCAAGTTGGAGTTGGGTTGAAGCTGTCCCCCTTCTCAGTCTGGGGTGCAGTTGGCTATGGTTCTGATTGGTAAGTGGTGTTGCCAAGCTGAGAGAGCCGCCTTTGTAGAGCTGGAGCAAGGCAGGGCAAAAGGGAAAACTGCTGCTCCCCCTATCCTGCACACCAGGAACGTCCTCACCCAGCGCCGAGCCGGGCCCTGTGACTACCCGCCCGTGCCCTGCAGCAGGTCCGCGTTGTGCTTCAGCTTGTATGAAACACTGCCTGAACACTGAAAGAAATGACAGCGCACAGGCTGAGCCAGGTTGTGTAGGTGGTAAATGAGGCATTCTGTATGGAAATAACAAAGTTACTGCAATTACAAAATCTGAGCAACAAGAGAACACATCAATCCTATTTACATCAGAGCGGTAGTGAGTGATTGCTGAGCATTTACAGCTGCACTCACCACAGAAAGGTCCTCAGCCACTTTCACTTCACATTTTTATAGAAACCTTCAGAGCTTATTTTTTGTGTTTGTGTTGGAGGCAGTTCTGTTTTTATTTTGCCTTCAAATGACTTAGGCTCAGGTCCATGAAGGCACTCATGTGCCAAAATACCACAGTGACCTGGGCCACAGTTAATGGCTAGCAGCCCAAGGGCGCATTCATGCCAAGGAAACAGCACGTCTGTCTACAGGAATTCTGGCTCACAAGAGGCATATGAAGGTGGCCATAGAGGATGCTGATCTGCAGTACAAGGTGCCACATACAGGCACGTGTTCTGCAAGCAGCTCTTGCCCTGAATTGCAGTACTGTGGGGTTCAGTCTGTTCTCTGCAGTCCGGATTTTGGTTCATTTTCAGACAACAGGAGAGGAGGGATTACATTTTTTATTGGAAGGATAAGTGTGGCTTGCAACCACTTTGCAACACTGCCAGACCTGCAGGTGAAACCTTGGTTGTTTCCAGCTATGATTAACAGGAGGAACACAGCCAAAGATAATAAGGAAGGGAAGGAATGAAGTAAGGAGAGCCAAACACTGCCGAAATGGCAGGAGGGAGGTGGATACATCCGTTAGCTGGACCATGAACAGGGCAGATGCAGCAAAGCTGAATGGGGATGTTAAAGGAGAAGCACTTGGGACAGTAACTTTAACTATTCGGATTCTTTTTGGAAATGCCAGTATCTGAGATACCCAAACCAGCTGCAGCTGAATGTGGATATAACCTAAGCATCTGCAGGCCCATTCAGAGCTTGCTGGTGATTCACCAAGGTTTGGGCCAGGCTCTGTCTATCTGTTGAGCTGCTAAATACAAAGCATTTACATTCACCACTTGTTAGAGAACTGGCCCCTGTGTGCATGCTGGGCCTGGGATCCCACCTGCAGTGATCTCCTTGCAGATCACATCAGCTGGCCGAGCAGATGCTGCTGCAGCAGAACTTGTTCAGATTCAGATTTTAAGGGCTTGTTTTCAGTTGATTTTACAGGTTATTTGTCATCTATATATTCCAAAGAAATAAAGCTCTGAAGGGGGGGAAGGGAAGGAAGGGGGATGTGTCTTATGTTGCATCACCCCTATAGTGCAATACAGTTAGAAAAAAAGGGAAAAAAAAGCTGATATCTCTATAGTTCAAGTGCAATTTTTTAGGGCCATACTGTTCTACAGATCACAGTCTCCCCACTGGGCCTGTCCTCCAGGATGTGGATGTGTTTACATTTCCCTACCTGCAACCTCACTGTGAAATGACTGCTTCCTATCTCTGTCTCCTGTCGTGGATTAGGAAGGTCAGTTAAACCATATTCTTGCACTCCAGCTTACCAGCAGTCATAGTGATCATAGTGCTTCTTTCGGCGTGGAGTGCTACAGGAAGAAATGCTACCACTTTTCAGCCCCTGAAGTGCCATCAGGTCAAACTCCTGATTTTAAGTAGGCTACAAATGTAGCAGATCTGACCTAGTCTTTGATCTGTCCTTTAACAAAACGTTTTTGCTTCCACAGCCACTTTATGGCCAGAGCAGTAGCATGGTGTGCTTCATGTCTGAGTATTATCAGTCAAGCACAGACGTGTCTCTGTGCTAGAATCAGCTTTGGGGCATGAAGGAGGGAGCCTCATGTTTTGTCTGACTCCCTTTCCTCACCCCATTTCTTTCAGTTGTGGAATGAACTGCCCAGCTGGAGGATACCAGAAACACTGGTTCACTTACACTAGTGCTGTAGTCTCAATGCAATTTGGAGAGTACTAGTATTTTGGAAAATAATGCACTGTTCCTTCTACCTTCCTATAGTTTTGTATGCCATAGTTACATAGCAAATCAGGTGCAGTAATTAAAAAATGAACTGCGGCTGTGGGAGGTTACTAATTTGCAGTGCAATTTAAGACCACTCTGCAGCTGAGTGGGCCTTTTCTTTTAAAAGGCCAGGGCTCGGCAGTTAAAGTCAAGGCTAGAAAATCTATGGTATGAACTTATTTCCCAAAGAGCTCAGCCAAGACCAGCTCCTGGGCCAACACATTCTAGTTTCTCAGGCAAAATAGTTCCTTTCCAGTGCCTTTTGCTGCTGATGTAGGTCCGAATAAAACCTCCCCACTGCTAGAAAAAGAGCACTCTCGGCTTCGGAGGCTTACTAGGATATCCATGAACCCCAGCAAGATCAAGTTCTAGGAATCAGGTGAGCTGTCACAGCAAAAAGCCTGCACTTGTGGAAGCAGTGCAGGTCTGTCAAGTTTTGACTTGAGAGCAAAGTCGAACTGTAGAGATCTGTCACCAAGGGAGTGTTTCCACTAACCTCAGAGACTTTGGACCACACTATCTGTGACTGCTTTGATGCTTCTGCCTTCTGAATTTTGAAAACAGAAATCCCATTTGATAACAAACCTGAAGCATTGGTCTAAAGAATTCAATAAATCCAGTAGAACAAAGTGCTTTAAAGACAATAAGACTGCTAATGTCTTATTCAGTCAGCCTTTTCCTAACATTTTAGCATTTTGTATGTAGGGCTTCTGTATTGGGGCAAAAATACATGGCCAGCTAATGAACTTGTTTTCCCATTAGCACAATCACTTCCCTCCAAGCCTGGAAACACAGACTCAGTTTCACACCAGCAATTGGTCAAAGTAAGACTTTTTCCCATCAGAGAATACGAGCTGCATCAAACAATTGATGGAATAATTAGGGTATTACCAAAGTGCTGTCAAGTATGGACTTAAAGAACAACTCAAAAACAGACACAAAATTATTACTAAGTGAATTAAAAGAATAAAAAAATAATCATAATAAAAATAAAGATCCTAGGACTTGACATGAGCAGCACAATTGGGGAAACACCCCCAGCAGGTGGGTCTTCCATAGTCAATGTCTGACCTGGAAAAGAAAGACATACAATAAGATCAACAGCACTCATGGAACCTGGGTTACAGTAGAGGGGGAGCTGCACGCAGTCTCTCCAGTCAGGTTATTCCTCTAGGAGGCACTATGTTAATAAAAAAAATAAAAAAATACAGCTGCATAACTGCATAGTGGTCGTCTCTGAGCGCTCCTCTAGGAGTTAGCTGTTCCCATAGGCACAAGGAAGGGTAGTGTCAGGGACAAACTGCAAAATCCTAGGAGCAGGACCTGCAAGGTCAGATGGTCACAGAGGCTGTTGCAGAGTTAATGTTGGAGACAGTCAGGTGCTGGTTGTTGTCAGTGGAGCACTTGGGCAAGTCGTCTGCCTTACACAGGATCTTGGAGAGGATCTTGCGGAATGTGTAGCGGAAGTCCCTGATCCTGTAGGCATAGATGATGGGATTGATGACAGAGTTGGCATGGGAGAGGATGATGGCCATGTACATCACCCACTCGGGCTTGGATCTGGAGAAGTCCTCATGGAAGAGTGTGATGCAGTTCAAGATATGCAGGGGCAGCCAACAAAAAGCAAAAAGTCCTACGATGATGGCCAGAGACTTGGCTGCATGAACCTCCTTCTGTAGTGTGGTCTTGGAGTTGCCCATCAGTTCAATCTGATGCAGCTGTTTGCAGGCGACCATGAATATCTTGACATAGATTCCAAGCATGATCACGAGTGGAAGCAGCACACAACCAAAGAAGTTGAAGTACACCATGTAGCTCATCGTCACCACGTTCTCAAAGAGGCATGAGATGAAGCAGCCATGGTGGTCATTCTCAGTGGCAGCCCCTGTCTCATTGGTGGCGTTGGGACACCCACTCATGGCTTTATTCCAGCCCATAAGCGGAGTCAGTCCAATTCCAAAGGACAGGACCCACAGCACAGCGATGAGTCCTCTTGCCCGCTTCCCAGTTACCAGACTATTATACCTACGGAATCAAGAACAAAACCCAAATGGAGCCATTAAGTAAACGAATGCTCATCACGTCATCTGCATTCTGGCCCACATCACACCAGCCCCACCTGCACCCGTGCAGGAACCCACCTATGTGATCATTTTGGGGGAAATAATCTCAAGTCTGCACTGTGCCTGCACACAGGGTTTAAATGGGGAGGAGGTTCGCTGGCCGTTCCTGCAAGGTGCCGAGCACTGCCCCTTGCCCACGAACATCAGCCCTGTGAAAGGTAAGGACTTGCATTCTTAGAAGGGCTTTATCGCTGCATGTCCCTAAACCACCGGCCGCAGAGAGCTCGAGTACGGAAGGATGGCGCATTCTGCAACCAGCGTAGGCTCCTGCTCTGAGCATCCAGTGCTGGGCAGGCCAGGGCATGCGTGGACTTCTGGGCTGACCTGCTCCATGGAGCCAAGTCTGGCTCTCAGCTCCACACCATAGCAGGCAGCCAAGGACCTGGCCAGCAGCACCACATGTTCTCACAGCCTTTATACCACGGCCAACCTGCTTCAGCTTGGGCTGCTTTGTGCCTGCAGCGGCCCCATAATGTAACATTGCTCCCTGTGCTACCTCATATATTAATGTGGGAAGCACATGTGTGTGTGGAAACTGTGGATCCTACGAGCTTCCCAAACAGTGCAATTGCTGGCTTCCACACCAGGATGCAGCCCACGCTAGGTTGTTGTGGTTGGATAACAAATACCCTGAAAGGCTTCTCTGTGCCAGCAGCCAAAAGCAACTGCTAATGATAGATTCCTTAAGAGATGTACAAGGCCGGGCTGTGTCGCTCTTCAGTCCTGGATCTGAATCCAGGATCCCTGATCTATGGGAGCTGGAAATGCTGGGCAGTTCTCCCTGCTTTCGCCTTCCCTGCATTGCGCAGCCTTCACTGTTGTCAAGTGATGCTTGTGCTCTGCTGACCTACACTAAGTGGGTCTCGAGGTCTGTGGTCTTAGGTAGGTGCCTTCCTTGGGCACCTGCTGCTCCCAGGGTGCTGGGCCGATGCCCGGCGGTGGCTCGGGGACGTTGCAGAGGCCGGCACTGCCCCTGCACCTTTCCCAGCACCAAGGGCTGGGTGTCTTCATGGCCAAGAAAGGCCGGGTGCCCCCCAGGTGCCCGGAGAAGCAAACGGAGCTGGAACCGAGACAGTGGAACAGCGACGATGAGCTGCTTGGGATGCACTTAGGCGAGAGCCCAATCCCAAAGCATTAGTCGGAGCTCTCTGCAGGGATGGCAAGAGCGCAGCGGTTGCCAGACGGACAACATGCAAAATCCATTACTGTCCTATCTATAGCAAATTAGCATCTCCTGGCCTGCCATGCGTGTGTCCCCCCGCCCCTCCGCAGCGCCTGTTTACTCTGGCCTCCCTGCCCGGCTCCTCCTCGCCCGGGAACGCTTGTTCTCAATTTCTTCCGGCCCGCGAGGCAGCGCGGGGTTGGATTCCCACAGAACTGCAGCTGTGTGTGAATCACCCGGCCGCGCGTGTGTCCGGCCGTCCCCCTGCCCCGCGAGGCCGGCGGCGGCGGAGCCGGCGCGCGGGGGAAGCGGCGGCAGCCCCGGCCGCGCGGGGCGGCCCCAGAAGCTGCAACCACCGAGGGCCTTTTCCTGCGCTTTGGTCTCATTATTACTAACCTCCCACCACTTCAGAAGGTGAGAAATGATGAGCAGCGAGGCCAGGCCCCTGTTCTCACAGGCCTGTGTGAAGTGCCCGTTTTCAGGAGCCTGACCCGATTTGGGGTGGAGGGTGCTCAAGATGCGATTTGGGGCCGTATCCTGGAAATCCCACCGCCTCTAGGCCTCAATCAGCAAAGTCAGAGTTTCCAAAGGTTCTGTCTAGCCATGTCCCCCCTTAGGGGAAGACGTGGTGGGAATTCAAGTGGGGCTACTCAGTCGCAGTGAACGATGTGTCCCTTAGACTAGCTCCAGTGACACCTCGCAGGCGCGCTGCAAATTCCTCCCAGCAACTCTCCATACAGAGGATCAGCAGCAGATAACTCTGTGCTCAAGAAACGTCTCCCTGCTGCAACTGTCCAGACAGGCAGGCGAGGAAAAGGCCCTGCAGAAACCTGGCTGCGGAGCTGCAGCCCAGAAGCGGCCAAAGTGGCATTTAGGATAATTTGGTGTGCTACATTTTTCACTAATTGCCTTGCTGTTAATAAACTTGTTGGCTGGGACATTGCCCGTAGTGGCCTGCCGTCAGGGGAAGGTAAGCACATGCCTAACAATGCAGACCTGCCCAGCCGTTATCAGATGAAGGTGCTAGTGCCGCGCTCGTGCGGGAGCAGCACCGGGGGGTGCAGCGGGCAGCGCCGCGGGGCTCCCTCCTGCAGGGATCTCGGCCAGCAGGAGCAGGAGGGGCCCGACTGGCATCTCCTGTGCACTGCAAAACATGGACAGGCAGCAAGGAACCCAGAGCTTTCCACAGCTCTGAGCATTCCAGCAAAACCCCTCCTCACCCTCCTAGGCGTAACATCATTAGGCAAGCAACTATTAAAGTAAATTTACTCACCTAAGTCTGCCCAATTAATGCATAACAAATATTGAATCTCCTCTGTGTTTCTGCCTACAGGCATCAAGAGGTTCTTTAATGTAAATACCAGCTGAATATTTTGAAATGATTTATTGAGATCAAATAACCTGGTGATACATTAGCTCCTTCTGCATAGCCGGGCAGCCTCTTAACGGGCGTAATCGCGATCGATCAGCCAATTAGCCCCGGCTGCGCTCGGGCAGCGCCTCTGCCCAGGGGCTCCCTGGTGCCTGGTCCCTCCACGGGGATGTGGTGGCAAATGCCGTGTTTTATTTTTTCCTGGAGGAGCATCACGCCTGAAATGCCCGTGCTGCACTTTAGTGCAGGGCGCTGGACGGCTCTGCCTTCTCCAGTGCTTCTGCTTGGTAGGCTGGCCCCTTTTTAGAAGGAAACAAGTCGCTTTTGCTTTTGCGCTGTTGTCGGATGGAGCCAGCAAGACGCCAGGATGGCCGGGTGGGCGCTACGCACAGCTGGACACACAGAGCTGGTGGCTCCAACCCTGCACACGTTTGGTGGCCAGCAGCGCTCTGCGCTTGCCCCCAGCTGGCACCGCAGGGCTGGGGGTCTGCAGGGCTGGGGGTCTGCAGGGCTGGGGGTCTGCAGGGCTCTACGAGTCCAGCACAGCCCGGAGGTGACTGCGTTCGCCCCGGCACACGGCTGCTGCTCTGCACGGCGCTGCCCTGCTCTGCTCTGCTCTGCCCTGCTCTGCTCTGCTCTCCATTGCCCTACACGGCTCTGCTCAGCTGCTCTGCACAGGAAGCTTGTGCCAGTTCTGCCCCCAAAGCAGGTTCTGCTGAGCAATTTCCGTCCTTAAACTCACAGATGCCCGGTTAGACGGGTGAGTGCAGAGCCACAGCGGTGACTGCAGCGCCGGGCGGCCGCGGGCGGGACGGGGCTGCGGGGCGGCGCTCGGCTCGTCTGCTCCGGCCCCGCTTCGCCCGCGTCCCGGCCGGCGGCCGCGGCGGGTTGACCACATGGAGAGTCTGCGGCGCGGGACCGTGCACGTGCTTGGCTGCAAACAGGCAGTGACAATTGATATATTTCTATTTTAAGTGTAAAGGAAAATACACAGACACCTCCATTCACGAGGGGAGAGCTGGCTGCCAAGCATTGTATGCTCGGCATTGTATCCTCATCATTTACTTGCAGCTTCACCAAGCATCTTGCTGTCTTTTTTTTTGCAATATAGTGGCACGAAATGAGTGTCATTGCTGCTGCTGTCTGCTCCGTGCACCGCCATGGAAAGGAGATCACATCTCAGCTGAGAACTCCTGGCAGAACATCTTTAACGAACCATAAATTACACCTTGGAGAGGGAAAAAAAAGAAACAAGAAAAAAGGCTGTGCTATTTTACCAGGAAGGAGTTGGCGGGAGAGAGATAAATCTGATTAGTGGTTACAATATCAGCTAAGGAAGGAGGACATCTGGGTTTCTCCGTATCCAGTTGTAGACAAATCACTTCCTCTCCACATCTGTGCCTGCGCGGGGAGAGCGGCAGCGTCCCCCGCACGCCCTGCCGGCCTTCCCGTCCTCCCCGCGCCCGGGGGGCCGCAGCGACGGGCGGCCGCTTCGCAGCCCGGCACACACGGGGCCTGGACCCTGCCCTCGGCACAACCCGCGGGCAGCAGCCGGAGGAACCGCCGCGCTCGCCCGGCAGGAGCCCTTGGCAGCTCGCAGCGCGGTGCCAGCAGCGCCCGCCCACCCACAACCTGTTGTAACCGAGCGGCTGCTGCGGCGCCGCGTGTGGCACCGGCCTCGCACCTGGGGCTGCTCAGGCCTCCAGGGCTCCATCCTGGCGGATGCTGCTCAAATCCGCTGGCTCTTCCCATTCCGCTTGGAGCGGGTGCCCAGCGAGGTCACTGGCTGCACGCTCCAGCCTTTCTGCCGCTATGTTGTGGTTTGGCCTCAGTGTGGAACAAAAGCTGAAGAGGAGCCACGTGAGCAAGTGAGGCCGGGCTCCCTGCGCCTGCCCCGGACCATTCCTGTGGCCCCATTCCTGTAGGATGCAGCGCCCGGCGCGGTGCTGCCTTGGCCCCGGGCAGGAGCAGAGCAGCCGCTGTGGGCCAGCGCCGGCCACCGTGCGGCTCACCTGAGGGGCAGCTGCGTTCAGGGCAGCTCCTGGAGCACGAAGGGCACCGGGGCGGCAGGACGGGCACCGCGGGAGGCGGGAATGTGGGAGGCTGCAGCCACGGCCTGAAGCGCCCTGCAGAACGGCGGGCAGGGCGCGATGGGAGCCGGGGCGCCCCAATTCAGGTCAGCTGAACACAGGACGCGGCGGCAGAGCGCAGCGGCCCAGCGCCGGGCCCTGCTTGCCAAGGGCACCCGCACGCGGGCGGTTCTCGTGCCTCTCATGAGGCACAACCAGGCTGCAGGGCAGCGAGAAGCCTCCCCACATCCCAGCCCTGAGGCTCCGGGCTCTCATGGACGGCGGTGCCTGGAGCTGCGCCAAGGGAAACACGACGGCAGCTCCGCACTCGGGCGCTAGCGCTCTGACACGGGGGGGCTTCAGCACCCAGGGTGCCTCTGAGGCAGGGCCGGGCCCTTCATTACCCCATTACCTACACAACAGCCCTTAGTCCCTGAGCACAAACCTGGCTGCTAAGAGCACCACAAGCCGCAAGTCTTGGAGCTCTTCCCAGGCACCAGCCTCCAGGCAGGACGATGTGATCGGCTGCAGCGGGGCCCGGGGCAGAGGATTTTCCTCATTCCAAAGCTCCCAGTGGCACCAGACCTCCCAAGGGCAACCACAGGGAGCTCCCGGACACCCAGGCTAACGAGCCCAGGAAAATGAGGTGGGAGCCCTGAGTCATAGGGAGCTACAGCAGCGCGAACCGCACAGAGCAGCCGGGCAACACCCTCGGGCAGGGAGTGCACAAGCGCCGCTGGAGCACCCTTGTGTAATGAAACACCGCGGCGCCGGGGCTGGAGGGGCGGCCGGCAGCGCCGCAGCGGTCCTGGGGTCTGTGGCACATTCGGGGCACGGGAAGCGCCGCCCGTGCCGGCCCTCGCCGCATCCCCTCTGCCCACGGGGCCGGGGGCTCGCGGGTTGTCTGCAGCTTGTGCCTAGGCCTGGTCTCAGCCAGAGGCTTAGGAGGATAATCCGCTCCTGGGCGTGTAGGAGGGCTGACGTGTGACGGGCAAAGCCGCGGGAGCAGATGGCACCAAGGGCCGGCAGAGCCGCGCGCCGGGCTGCTAATCCCGGGCGTCTCGCTGAGCGCGGCCGCCCGGAGCACGAGAGCGGAGCACGACGGCCCCGACCGCTCCTCACCACAGTGCTCAGAAGGTCCAAAGCAAAATTCTGCTAGATTTAAAACTCGTCTTTTTCACTTCAAAAATTAGCCCACTTTCTTAATGCACAAAATTGACCAAAACTGAAAAAAAATCCCCCAAATCCAAGCTCTGTGTTCTGTGCCAGCCCAGAGTGTTCTGCCCTCAGCCTGCAAAGGGCCCTGGAAGGTGGTGCAGCCTCGGGCTGCTCCGGCTCCAGCTGCATCCCAGCAGCATCTTCCCTGCTCCATGTGGAGGCAAAGGGCTCCAAGGCGGCTTCCCGGCGGGGTTGGCGTCTGGTAGCAAGTGCGAGCCCAAGGGCAGGAGCGGGTGCTGCTCCGGCGCGAGCTGTGCGCTCACGTGGGCGCCACCAATGCGCAACACACGGGTTTCCCTTCGGAAAGGAAATGAAGCAAGGGCGAAAGGAGGAAGAGCGGCTGCAATTCTCCACCTGCCCCCGAGAGCTGCAAACGCCGGCGCTGGCAGGGGAGGCCCAAGGCGCTCAAGAGGATTTGCCCTCCCTGGGGGCTCTAGCTCTTCCTCTGTTCATAAATTCCCAACAGTCGGCTTTGCTGAGGGCGCAATGGGAAGCGGGGCAGGGGCTCCACGTGCCCCTGTCCTCTCGCACACAAGTTCCTGACACGCTCATTGCAGGACTGTCCTTGCCTACAACCATGAGCCCAACCGAAGGCTGTCGGTTGATGCTAATAGGAGTGGAAGATGTTTTGACACCTCCAGAGCTTCCTTGGCTCCCTGTTATGGGCCTGACGGGTGAAATCGGCCCCTGGAGAAAACCAGCAAGCCAAAGCCTAGCACGGCCCACGCGGGACCTGGCTTCCCAGGACAAATGTCCTGCTGCCAGATTGCCCGGCTCCGGCGCCGCGAGGAGCGGGGCGCTCCGGGAGGGCTCCGGGCTGCAGCGGGAGCCGAGCCGGATGCCGGGAAGGGTCCGGTGTTTGGGAGCAGGAGCCACGTCCTGGCGCCAGGGCCAGGAGGCAGCGGCTGCAGGAAAGGGGCTGGAGCAGCGGCCGCACGAGCTGGAATGGGCCGGTAGGGCCGGGGGGTCTTGAAAAGGGGTAAAACTGACTAAAACAAACAGCAGCTTCAAGGGACATAAAGTCTGCATGACTTCATGTCAAATCCAGAAAATATTTATAGCCAGAGGAGGGAGGATTCTCAAGCGCCATTTTTACATTTTAGAAGAGTTGTTTTTTTTTTTTTTTTTTTTTTAAATTTCTGCATGAGAATGTATTGGTTCCTTTCCGGCGAGGTCGCAGCAACACAGGAAGGGTTAAGCAACGCGCAAACTCTGCACCAGAAGCCCCAAACCTCCCTGCTGTGGCCTGACAGACACAATGTTCTGAAAATCCCTCTTCCCGATGGGATTCTTTGGTCCGGAGCTGGGAATGCCGTTACTCTGCAGGCAGCCTCCCCGCGCACGTCGCCACCAGCTGTGTCCGTGCTCAGACAACGTGTTGGTCATTGCGGCTCGGGCAGGTCGGGCTGCGCTGGCTACAAGGCTGGACATCCAGGGCCTGCTAGCAGGCTCTGCACTGGTCTCCAGAACTAGTATTTTAGTGATATTGAAACTTCTTTTTCTGAAAATCTTAATTCCTACAAGCAGATCAGCAACTTTTCCTATCTCCTCCCAGAAACTGTGGCTGCATCTACCCAGAACAGGTCGTTGGACAAGTCACCTACCTGCTCCTGAAACCAAGAGCTGCCCATTGGCCCCCTGTCCTAGCAGCCCGTAACCCACCGGCCCCTTGAGGTGCTTCTATTTTGTAGCTCCCCTTTTAGATCACAGGAACCTCTAAGCTGAAACAAAGTTTAATACAAAACCCAAAAATCTAAATCACATTTCAGAGCAGATCGGGTTTGAACTCATTCTACAGCTCAAAGGGCTGGACGTGTCCAGTTAGGAAGCAGGTCCAGGAATGGAGACATCTGTGCAAAAGGAATGAAAGCACTAGCCTAAAACGAGGTGGAAAAACGATGTTGCGAAAGCACCCTGAAACAAGGCAGATGTGCCTGGGATTTTATCCCCCACAGGTGCATAAATGGGCCAAAAGTCTAGCAAATTAGCTGGAAAGCAAGAGTGTGGAAAAGAAAATAAAGAAAGAGCGAGCAAAGGAAATTCTTTCTTTCTTGTCAGTTGTCAAAATCGCTTCCCTCTGTGCAAACACGTCCCCCCAGGCACATCTGCGCTGCTGCTCTCGCTGCGGAGCAGGCACTGAACTCAAACCGTTCGACTTCCTGGGCCAAGCACTGCTAAACCCAGGCAGGGTGCAAAGGAAGACGGGTGCAATTAGCACCCACGCGCCAACATCGCGCCTGCGATGGCTGGTGCGATTAAACCGAAACATAAAAAAGCTGAGACGGCTTCATAGCCGCCGCTCTGCTGCTAGACCCCATTCCAGGAAAGCCCCAAAGGGCTGGGTGAGTCACCCAAGCTCCTGTATCCGAGGGCAGCGCCAGCAGCTCCGGGCTCGGAGACTCGGGCAGCGGCTGCAGGCGCTGCAGGTCACACAGCTGCTCCCGTGGTTGCTACCCCCCAATATCTGCCCTGTTTCCCCCCAGATCCCACCTCGGACCATCCCCTCGAGCAGTCCCGGGCTCCCATTCTTGGGGAGGGACAAGAGACACACGATTAAGACAAGCAGGTCACTGTAACCCAAAATCCAGAGCTCTGGAGCACTTCAGCTGAGGAAGTTGCTGCACTAACTCACTGTTAAAGTGCCTGTAAAATATATTTAGCACATATTGTCCCGTTCATTGCAAAGTCTCCTGGATGAGATGCAGTCTCAGTTAAGGTCTGTGAACCGGGCTTGTATGAACATCTGAACTGTAAAGTTTGGAAAACTGGGGTGCAAAATCCCTTCTACGTCCCTCTCTGCCGGTGTGTGCCCGGAGCTGACGCCTCGTGAGGGTAACTGAATCACACACCCATTCACAGAGCACTCAGGAAAAGGCGCCTTTGTGAGCACGGAAACGTTTTCAGCATCTTGCACTTTCCTCCTGTTCATTTTATTTCCCTTAAGCACCGAAAGAGCCTGTTTAGCCCTAGACCTTGCTGGAGATGTAGGCACATGCAACGTCATTTAAAGCTCCAGTTAAGGCGACTCTCTGCTTTTCTGAAAGCATTGCTCGCTTAGAGGGAACTCTAAAGGGACAGCCTGCAAAGTGACTTCGTCAATAGGTTGGGAAGTGAAAAGAAAAAGTGGTGTTTCATTACCTGGGAGATGTCCGGATACCACAGTAATGCAGGCTCTATAAATACCTACATAGATTAGCTAGACTTACCCTTAGCTCCCTCCTGCATCACCGTGTAGCCCCCCAGGAAGACACTGATCCTCCCAAGACAAATATCCTTAAGAAACTGAGCTCCTGAGGGTACTTTGGAGTACGTGACCCGAGCGCGATCCCAGCCCTGCAACAAGTGACATCTCTGGCAGTTGTGAGCAACCTCTTACGGGAACACGGGCGCCCGGCATTCCCCCCTGCTAAAGCAAGGAAAGTCACCGTCTCTTCTGCCAGGGAATGGGGCATTTTGCCCGTCCTCCCGGCTCTTACCTCAGAGGGATCTTGATAGCCAGGTACCTGTCGATGGCCACCGCCAGCAAGCTGAAAATGGAGCTTTGGGTCAGCACCAGCACGAAGCAGGCAAAGAAGAGGCAGCTGTGGAAATCCGCCTGGAAGCCGATGCTGATGGTGATGGCAAAAGGGATGGCGAGCAGCCCCACGGCGATGTCGGCCACGGCCAGGGACACCAGGAAATAGTTGGTGGCGTTCTTCAGGGTGCTGTTGATGGCCACAGCCCAGCACACGAGGACGTTGCCGGCGATGGAGAGCACGGCGATGATGAGCTCCAGCGCGATGTAGGTGGTTTTCATAGTGTCCATGGCGAGCGGCCAGGCCGGCGAGCTGGAGCCGTTCATGGGAGCACCGAGCGGCCAGGGGGCAGCGCTGCCCGCGCAGCAACACCCATGTCCGGGCTGCGGGGCCGGAGGGGCGCGGGGAGCCCCGGGCCGCGGCCCCGCGCTGCCCGTCCCGCCCGGGCCCCGGGGGGCATCGGCGGCGGCCGCGCTCAGCGCAGCGGCCCGGAGCGCGAGCGCGGGGCCATGCGGGCCGGGCCGCCGCGGGATGCTCCGCTCCGCTGCGCTGCGCTGCGCTGCGCGGAAAGGCGCTGCCGGCCGCGCCGCGGCTATTTCTGCACATGGGGCGAGCGGCGCGGGGCGGGGAGCGCGGAGCGGAGCGGAGCGG